TTCTTGCCCTTAGAATTCAGCTGCCATATTATGAGGAACCCCAAGCCACATGTGGGTGTTCTGCCTATGGCCTCCAGTCAACAACCAGCATCGACTGCTGGCCATGTGAATGAACAAGCCTTCAGATGGTTCACTCTTCCAGCCCCAGACATTATGAGCAGAGAGGAGCCATCCCTATTGTGCCCTATCTGAATTCCTGACCCCTGAGAGAGACACTGAGTGATTATTATTGTTCTAGGGTAGTTCGTTATGCAACAGGAGTGGCTGAAACACACATGTAGTCCTGTGTTGTGTCCCTGAAGGGTTGTGCCAATTTGCAGTGCCACCAGCAGTGGAGGGGTGTGGCAGATTCACAACCTCACAAGCCCTGGAGCTTGGGCCTCTGTGGGGACTTACCCCAAACTCTCCAAATCTTATCTCCACTTCCAAACTGTGGAGATAAGTTGAGGGGATACATTGTTGCATTTTTGTTCACGGTGTTGAGTGAGCACTTGGTAAATGCTTGCGTATTTGCACATTTGTTCAATTCTATGTAACTAGGGTGTGCATTTGTGAGACTGTCCTGGCCAGGAGGCACAGACTGTGACCGTGAAATAGACTGAGGCTCTCTTGGTTTCCTCATCAGAGGAAGCAGATTCCAGAGCAGCAGCTCAGAACACATATCCTTCAGTCTACTTTACATACATACTTGGAGAAAACTAGTGTTTCAGGGAAAAGGATAATGGTGTCCTGTGACTGGATCGGGGTGTTCCCAGCCCTCATGCTTTGTGTCCACCCCAGTACAGCTCTCAGCTGTGAGGGCTTGTAAGATGCCACCAATTTTGCATCCTGAGAAACTACTGGCAGATATGTATCTAGATGGCTCCCCGTCCCTCCTGTCACCCCCAGCCACATACATACTCTTTACTATTGAATCAGTTTTCACAGAGCCCAACAAAGGAACGCATGGGAATGCAGAGTGGGCCCTGGTGGCATTCTCTTCTACAAGTGTAGATCCAACTGCCAATTGCCAGCTCCTTGCTTCTTTTCTTCTCTGCCACAATTTCTGCTCCACCGACTCAGCATGGAAAGCACACTCACTGAAAATTCAGTCCAAAAAAAAAAAAAAGAATTGCGTTTCAAGTGAATTCTGTCTGCTTAACCCAATTATTAATTCAACAAATATTTACTGAGCACCTAACATGCACCAGCCATCAAGGACCTCAAGGAAGCTGCAGTGTAATAGAAATCTCCATCGTTTACAGGAGCTCCATCCAAGGGACCGGAAGTTTTCCCTGGGTATTTGTTCTAGCATTGCCCCCACTATTGCACCTGCCAAGATAGGGACAGGAGGGCAAGCTGGCAAGAGCTGCAGATTCCTCACTGACAGACACTATTGGGGGTAGGGAGGAGGTGTGTCTGGGGGAAACAGAATTGTGAGGTGGGAAAAAGTAGCAACCTATTCAGAGATACAGTAGCTTAAAGAGAATTTCTCTGGCTACATAGAAAATAGCTAGTGTCTTCTTTAAAAAACACTGTATTCTAGGATGTAGATTTTGCCTCCAAGTTCTACCCAGGGCACTTGGTCTAAGTGGAGTCTAACCACCACTTTAGGGTAGTTAATTCCAGGAATTTTCCAAGATGGCACAAAAATAACTTTAAAGAACTCATACAGAACATTTAAGTGGACCATTGCATTGTACTGAGTTTATTTTTAAGGGTGGTTAACTAACTTGAGATGGAGGCCATACAACACTTTTTCAAACGACCAGGTTTGGGGAACGATGGCTTTAGTTCAGAATTCCTTCTGCCAAGTCTCTTTCCTGAGTTAGCTGGATGACTTCTCTGCCCGCAGGCCGTCCAGTGGCTGATACCCCTCCCCATTAGGAACACAAGGGGCCTTTCTTTGGAGTTGGAGCTCAGTAAGCTAATGCCTGTATTCTGGGCCAAAACTATCACAGAGCTGCCTGATTCCAGTTTATACACCATGTGTTTGAGGAAGAATCATGCCTGGTGGCTGCTCCTGAAAAAACAAGTTTTGCCCCCAACAGAGCAGATCACCACTTTCTGACTTTCCTCCTCTGGGTTGCAGTTCATGAAAGCAGTCTCATTCAGGGTTGTTATTTTTTCCTTCTGGTTTAGAAATAGAAAAGGAAGGAGTGTGTTTTCTTGGTAGACCAGAAAGCCCAGGCTTCAGGCTACAAGGGCAGTACTGTCTATGACGGGAATGGCCAGGTCTGGGGTGGAGGAGGAAAGAGGGAGAAGGCAGATACAGCTGGGCTAGGATGGTTGGGGTAGGTGTGTGTGTCAAGGCCGCAAAGATCTGTATGACCCGAGAATGACATAGTGCTTTACAATGCCAAAAGGGGCCATTTCCTAGTTTATACTGTTATTTTGAAAGACCTTTTAAAGCCAATTTTTCACTGCCTAAAAGCACTGTAATCCATTATTTTCACTTTCAGCTTCTCGATGATTTTTGAGGGATGAAGAGTTTCTTTATCAGAAACCACAAGGTAAAAGGTTAATTGCCCTGCCCCAATTAATGACAAAGCTCAGTCCTCCCAAGTCAGAACACAATCAGGCCACTGGCCCTTCTAGCCGTGCTGACATCGGAATGTTCATTTTGTTTTGGGGGCATGAAAGCATTTACTTACAACTTTCAATTTCATCGATAGCTGTGCCTGGGATTATTGTCAGTGTATGACTTTGCTATGAACTATCTTTGGGGTTACTGCTGTCCTAGGTGGACAGGGACCTGGGGGCACACCAGGCTGGTCTCCATGCCCATTCTGCTGTATTGGACTTTTAAACCTGATTGAGATGCCATCCCCTATAGAACCCATAACCTGTCCCCCACATCGGTGCAGTTCATTCACATGGAAATGAAATTACTGATAGCTGCCCAGGGATCAAATCAGAGACGAGCTCAGAGTTAATGCCTAATAATCTTGCGGACTCAGCAGAAAGCCACTGGCATATCCAGTGAGATGTGGCCATCACTGGGGCCCAAGCAGCACAGGTGCTGACTGTGCAAACCCTTCTCACTCTTAAGTGGTCAGACAAGCCCCTCGCACCAAGGATTTTCCCCAAAAGCCTTCTCGCCAGAGAGCCCCGCCTTCCGCTGCTTATCTTCACAAACTTTTGCCCTTACCCACAGTCTGGAGACAGCTGTGGCTGAAGCCATCTGAAGGGAGAGATGGACCAGTAGCCTCTCCTGGTCCCTCACAGTGGGCTCTGTAGCATCTGGGACAATGTGCTGCTGCTAAGTGCAAAGGCCTTACCCCAGTTCACTATAGAAGACCCCCAGGAGCACAGGGAACTGGCTGTGTCACTTTCCCAACACCTTCACTTTTCACAGTCCCCCCTGCTGCAGCTGTCCAGTCCTGGGAATGCTTCCTCCTCCTTAGGCCTAGCCAAAAACGGAAAGCCTGGCCAAGAACGGAAAGCCAGCGTGCTTGGCTGCTCAAAAAGTGTCCTTCAAAGAGGAGAATGCAAGCCTTTCCCAAAAAGTGGCTTTAAGTCTTCGCCAAGTCTTCCTGAACAGCGGTGCAGCTCAGACTAGTAAAAACTCAGTTCTTTTATTAGGATGAGGCAAGATATAAGGACATACTGTTAGAGAGACTAGAAGTCACTTTTGAATCCATTCAGATGGCTGCTGAATGCCAAAAAAGGGGCATAGATCTAATCACCCTGGGAGAGAAATGACTGCCAGCTGGAGTAGTCAGGACCGGCTCCAAAAAGTAGCAGGTTTAATGAGAGAAGTCTCAAGGCAGGGGTAGACTGTAGCGGGGGAGGGGACACCCCCAGAGAGTGATCAGGATGAGCAGGAGGCAGCTTGCAGAGCCCAGCAGGGAGTAGCTGTACAGGCTGGAGCAAGGAATCTGGCTAGGCAAGGCCAGCTTGGGGCCAGGTTGTGCAAGGCTTTAAATGTCAAGCTAAGGAATTTATCAGGGGAATGAAATGATCAAACAGGTGTTTTAGGAAGATGAATTTGAAGAGAATGTGCAGGATGAATTGGAAAATCTGGAAGCATGGCAACAATTAGGAAGCTGTGAGATTAGTTAGGCTGTTGTAGTAGTCCTGTGTGAGTTGATAAGGGTGTAAATGAGCAAAGTGGCAGCAGAAATGGGAAGGGACAGCTGCAAGAGACATTGTTAAGAAAGAATGGATGAGGCTTGCTGCCTGATTGGATTGGGGACCCAGGGAGCTCAAGGAATCAAAGATGACACCAGAGTTTTGAGCATGGGCAACTGGTAGTATAATGAACAGAAAGAGGGATGTGAGAAGAGGGAGCAGGTTTCAGCAGATGTGAATTCAGCTGCAGGCAGAGTGAGTCTGCAGGATATCTAAGTGGAAATGTCTGACAGGTCACAGGAAATGTAACGCCAGAGCTCAGAAGAGACGTTATAGTTGGTGATGAACTTGGGAGTCAAGTGCAGAGAGGTGATAAATGAAGTCGTGGAATGAATGAGATCTCAAAAGCATAATGCAGTGAAACAGAAGACCAAAGACCGACCTTTGAGGAATGCCCACATTTAAAGGACTTATGTTATAAAGCTGAGTTTAGAAGTGCCATCCACATGCTGGGTGTCTTCACCATTAAAGTATCAGTTTGAAGTGTACATCATTTTGTCTCAGTAGTAACTAAATCACAAACACCTAACTACGCCCCTAAAACGAATCTGGCTGAAGTAAAGGCTGATATTCAGACAGAAAAGAAGGGCAAGTGATGCAGTGAACATAATCTAGAAGATTAGTAAATTTGATTTCACAAAGATGAGTCAAGCAATAAAAACTTGTGAAAAATATCCTATAAATAACATTTAATTAGAGAAAAGTAGGTATTTACTCATTTTAACACAAGGACCAAAAAATTTACCGTATTTGCTGTGTACTACTGTTTTCCTGAAGTGTGACTTTTTAATAAAGGCTATATTAAAGTATAAGCTGGCTCAAACATTTGTGAAGACAAGTTAACATAGAAAAGCTACCCAGAGTATAGTAATCTCCATTAGATTTAGTTTGTATGTCTAGTCTTTTTACATGTATATTTACTGTACATTGTATTTTTTGACACTCAAAATATAAAATATTATAAACTTTGAATTTTTGGACTAAAAGCTGCCTTAAGCCATGTAAAGAGAAAAAAAGTTGTGCTAAAATTTTTCTCCTAATTGCTTAATGAAGAATATGTATAACTGAACAAGAGTTCAACAGCAAAGCAACTATTATTCTATAACACCTTTAATAACTGTTGAAACAGTAGACTTAACATCTTAACATGTTTTCATATTAAACATGTTTAATTGATATTTTCTCTTAAAAAATCTTAAACATATTTAACACGTATCAAAAGCAGTTATAAGATACAAATTCCCTCTCCTGTGGACATAAAACTTAAAAAACAAGAACCACCTTTGGAAAAAGAGAATTTACAAATTATACAAAACCAGCTGCATATGTGAATAACATGCAGTTATTCAGAATATATGGGTTCTAGTTGCTTCCACGTGATGGAAGCAGTCTAATATGTCAATCCGGAAAATACATGCAATTGCTAGCTAGCCTGAGAGGTACTACACATACACATAAGAAAATAAAAATGAAGAGTGAAGCAAACTTACAAAACTGATAACTTCTTACTCTCCAGATATTTTGAACATACCTAAAAAAATTTGAACGTAAGATATATGATCTTAAAGGAAACTCTTAATATATAATGGGATAGTGAAATTAAGTTATTAAAACCAAAGAAATAGTTTTCCTGATGTCCTCAGCCTCTTAAGATCCAAACTAATTCTGTCAGCTAAATTTAATCCAAGAGTTGACTTTTTAAATGCTAATATTGTCAAACCTCTTTCAATAAACACATCGACTATATACTACTTAGTATTTATCTGATTTTTTTAAAATAGGGGCCTTGGGCGGATTTTCTAAACACTGGAGAGAGAGAAAAAAGAGTTAGCGATTTGCTTGTTTCTTTTTAAGTAGTTTATACTAAATAATGTGACTGAAAAATCAGTTTTTGTGGGGAAGAATCAGGTAGGTGATTCTTATTTTGAAGTTACAATAAAAAAGGACTCATTTATTTAATTAAGGGAGAACTGCACTGTTTTGGGTCAACAACAATCTGAAAGGTTGCAGTTTTGAAGGCAACTGAAAAATGTAAAATGCAATAAAAAACTGAGGGTAATATCTTGGTGTAGAAGATATAAGACATACTTTCACATAATAATAGCTAATTTTTTTGTTAAATCTAAAGAGTCTGTAACATACACGAACGTCTCAAAAGAAGCGGTAACTCAGAGATGCTTAGATTTGACTTCTGATTTGGTCAAATAAAAGTCCAAATGTTTAGAATCAGATGACCCACTACTCGCCAAAAATCCACAAAATATTCACACCGGATAGACCAAGATTAACTCTCCTACAAAGAGAAAAACAAAAGTGTTAGTGGAATTGACTGCCAAGCATTGAAGATCTTTTCTCAAATAACTAAAACAAGAAATACACATTTAATTAATAATATTTAACGCTATTCTGCAATGTTATACTACACATGGTTCATCAGGTGAGTTCTAGAAACAGTAATTAATTTAACTGTTTAAAACCCAAATACAGACTAAATGGATTGTGTTGAAAATTAATTTTTCAGTAGACATCAAGAACTATTACATTAGATAAGAGTTAACAAGATGATTTTAGCAAGTCAGATCAAAGTAAAAGTATCAATTAAATTTTAAAAAATAGTGGTTATAGAGATGATAGGCCTTTTAGAGAATTTTACCTATCTGACTTAAATTAAAAATTTCTAATTATCAGAGATACTTTAGTAAACTTGCAAATGGGTATTACTAATTTATCTTAAACCAAAACACACTGCATACAATGAGAAGAAAAATCTACTCCTACTTACACCAGAGAGTAATATAACTGTATTCAAAGTATGAGGGAGGAGAAGAGGACTCTAAGAGAGGGAAATTACTCATCTGACAAGAAATCAAGCAATGATGTCCAACACTAAAGAATCGAGAGCGAGCTGTCTACCTCTTTATTTGGAACCATGGGTAACATCAGAAGGAAAAGCTACCAGTTCAAGTGGCTGCCTTGGGGAAGTGGGCTTGGGAAATATGGGAAACTGCTTATTTCTGTCATCGACTTTTAGTACTGTGTGACTTTTAAAATTATGAGCATTAGTTTTGATAAAAAATTAAAAATATATATTTAACAAAAACGTTCTTCATAAAAGGTAATTTCTATGAACTGTTTTCCCATTCATACCATCACTAACATTGCAAATGATAAATTAAATTTGATAAAAAATGTTTTCATTTTGGCTTGTTTGTATATGAGGCTAAGCATCTTTTCGTTTTTATCAACCATTTGTACACTTAGTCTAATTAACTTATATATCATGAATATAATCTGGATTTGCTATATATGTTGCAGCTATGTTTTGTCATTTAGCTTTAAACTTTATTTATGGTATCTTTTGCTGAACAGAACAATTAAATTACTAGTTATGTTTCAAATGCCCAACGCCACAGGTGACTGGTGGCTGCTGTATCGGACAGTGTAGTTCTAGAACACATACAGGACAGGACCCCTAAACGAA